AATTAATTAATACATACACTTATAATGGAAGAGCGAAATCCATGAGATAAGACCAGCCATTAACCGAATTAGCAAAAAATAGGCAATTTTGCATTAACGTATTAGAGAGAGACTCTTTGTCTTCCTCACTGCGGCGTTTGCAGACTTTTTAGTTTCCAGTTTGGCAATTTCACTGTTCGTCTGTCGTCTCATCATCTGTTCTAGACTTCGGAGCAAGAGCAGATCAGATTCCAAAGAGGTAGAGATCGAGAATCATCCCAAGTCCCAGACTCCCAGTCCGATAGCTCCAACCTCAAAGCATTATGCACTTAGGTAGACTTCCGACTGCCACAATTACAACAAGTTACAGCCTTCTTCGATTCTTTTTCTTCTTCCAACTCTAACTTCCGACTACCGCAGTTTAGGCAGGCACTCTGCACCCAGGCAGAGTTATTTGGTTCTTCTTCTTCTTTTCCTGTCTTCACCGCCATCCGGCTTCTGACTGCCGCAGTTTAGGCAGGAACTCTACACTCAAGCAGAGTTCTTAGGTTCTTCTTCTTCTTCAGTGTTCACCACCAGTTTACAAGCTTATAACAACCAACAGGTATTTATTAACTTCTTCTTCTTCTTGAAAGTTAAATAACAATACAAAAAATATTTCAGTTAGAACCGAAATAGCTGAAAAAAAAAGACGGTTCAATTTATTCGATTTTCAAGTATTTCGGTTCTGGATTCGGTTTGTAATATAGCTAATTCAGTTTTTGAAATTTCTTTTTTTTTTTTTTGGTTTTGAACCGAAAAAATCGAATGCTCACCCCTAACTGGAGCTGTAATCTTTTTTTTTGTTACAGCTTAAAAAGAATCACAAAAATGAGAAAACTCTAAATCAAAATGGAATAACTAAAAAACATAACTAAAATTGGCCATTGGGAATAATCAAATAATATTTTGAGATATGAAAGTTTCTTTTATCATTTTTTATATTTTAAAATAAATAAAAATTTAGAATTAGTTTGAAAGCAATCCAATAACTGTTAATCGGGTCAAACATTTTAACAGTTAAACTATCCGGATTAGCAGTTCATTGACCATTTCAACGTTTTTTTTTTTGGTAAAATAGCCGTTTAGGGCCAAAACAAAACCACTAACCTAACTAGTTCTTGGGCCAAAATGGTTAAACCATCTGGTTTGGCCCAATTTTTAAAACATTTACTAAAATACTCATTTTTTGAATTATCTATACTTAATTGTAAGGTTTAAATTGTAAATTGGACTTCTACGTTTCACCTCATTCAATTTTCTCTATTTAAATCTTACATTTTTCTGATAAATGAACAAATGAAAAAAAAAGAGTTATACTATAAATAAAAGCGCCGATGCATAGTGGAATTTTTTTTGGACTAAAATTACCCTCTATTTCGTTGTTTGATAAAGGGTATGAAAGTCTTTTTATTACAACTTTAATGCCAACTTTTGATAGCTACTAAAATGTCCATATTTGTCTATTTATTACATCTCTAATTGTAAGTGTTGAAAATGTAACTTTAATTATTATTTTCCACCTCATTTAACCCCTTTCATTAAGTCTTATACTTAAATGTATTAACTCCCATATTATCTTATTAAATCCTATATTTAAGTCATTTTCGCCAATAAATGGTACTAATTAGATCTATATCAATATTTTTTACAATGTAAACCCATATATCTTAAAAATAGCTAGAAAACAAAAGCATTCTTTATCCAAGTGATGGCTAAGTAATTAAACCATTAAAATCAAATTGACAAACCTATGAATTCATAGTTAGGTAATTAAAATTTAAAAATATACATAAATATAGAAAATTACAAATATGTAGAAAAACTAGACACATTTATGATACTTTTATTAATCAAATTAAAAACAAGTGTAATAAAAAAAAATTTTATTGATAATGAAAATAAAATACATACTTTAGAACTAACCAAAAATAAAATTATTTCACTATTTGGCAAAGATCAATAGTTCAACTTTTGGGTCAAATGTATTAACATTTAATGTCATGAATAAATAATAAAATATAAAAATACAAAAATACATAAATGTTGCAAAAAAATCCAGGCACATGTATAATATTAATTAATTATCATATTAAACAAAAAGTAAATGTGACATATCATAATTATTTTTACATAGAAATATAAAACAAACATATAAAAAATTGAACACATCTATAATACTATATTTACACTATTGTTAAAAATATAAATAAGACTATGGAACTTTATTTTGACTAAAATACTCATTTTTTAATTTAGTCTCTATTTAATTGTGAAGTTTAAATTGTATATTGAACTACTGATTTTCACATCATTCAATTCCCTGTATTTAAATCTTACATTTTTTTGATAAATGAATAGAAAAACACCAAAAAGATAAAAATATTATGAACGAAAGAATTTAACCAAGCATGTAAACATGTCAATGATACTTGAAACTTCAAAACTCAATCCGATCACTGCATATTTAGATGAGGTGTTTATGCAATCAAATTTGTATTTTGCAATATGCATCCGATTAATATTGAAAAACAAAAAGCATGTAAAAACAAAAAATAAAAATACATATTTATAGTATTTTTTGGATACATTGTTACTATCGTTATCATCATATAGAATTACCACTTTCAAAGCATATGCACGCTTACTAGTATAAAGAAAGGGGTAAAATACTTAAACATACTTTGAGTTTTCATTAAGTGACTGAAACATTGAATTGTTCAAAGGGAAAGTCTATGATAAGGAAAAGATATTACTAGTATAAAGAAAGCATTTGACCAATCACAACCCCCTATGAATTTGATGAAAACTCACCTGATTGGTTATTACTTTTATGATGTCGGTTGATTGTTTGTAAGTGTTTTCGATATCATATATCTCTGACATCATAGTTGAACCCTGGTTCGAAAAGACTTAAAGATACGTTGTGACTCTTTTACCCTTTATTTTCTTTCAAAATTTAAAAAATAATAAAAAAAGTTGACAAATCCGAATAAGATTTCAAGTATCAGAGAATATCACTTCTCCCCTCCAACCTTTGATCAGAATATGGTAAGATAGGTTTTAGAGGTCGATTGCAGTGCTATGCTTTCCCAATCCTCTTGCTACCCACTCCCATGTCAATCCCTAGGGGCGCAAATGGATTGGGATCTGATACCCGAGCATATTTGATTGGATTCAGATCACCCCTTTGTTTTGGACATTCGGGTTGGATAAGCTTATATCATATTCGGATTCGAATCACCCCTATTCAATTCAATATATATTATATATTTATAGATATAAATCTACATATAAATAACACATATATATTATTTATTTATATATTTATAAATATACTATTTATATTATAATTTTTATAAATTGTTATATTATTTATTTATTTTTATAAAAAAACGTATGTATATGATAAAAATAATTAAAAAATACTTGTATTTTTTTGTTTTAATTGTATTTAAATTAATATATTTTATATTTTATTTTAATAATTTACTAATTTTTAAGGAAAATAAGTCAGATTTGATCCGAAGATTTAACTTACCAATAAGACTTTAATTCAAATCGTGTCCTACCATATCCGATTGAATCTTCAAATCCAACATGAAGACTTGACTTACCAATAAGACTTGAATTCAAATTGTGTCCTACCAGATCCGATTGAATCTTCAAATCCAATATGAACAATGTCGAATTAGAATCAAATATACCCCATATCAAATCCGATCCAATCAGTTTGCATGCTTATTCATCCCATTAATCCACCATGCCACCAAAAAGACAACTCACGTGTTAATTTTTTTTCTTTGGAAAAATGGAGGCTGCGGCAACATCCTATGATTAAAACGCATCTGCTGGTTTCTTCAGCATCAATTGCCATGATCTTTTGGGGAAGAGATATTAGTTAAAAATAAATACAATTTTGGCATGATGGGGCATGGTTATGTATATAATGGGGAAGGGAAACTTTTAATTTGGGACTGAGATTTGAGTTAATTTTGAATATGTGAACAAACATGGGGTAGGTAATGAATATATGAACAAACAATAAGATTTCATTACTCTCATATGTTAAAAGGGTAAAATAGGATATTAAAATTTTTAAATGAATTTACATTTAAAGTTTCAGTAATCAGGGTATGTTTAAGTCCAATGAGTCAATTCATAAATCCTTTTGAAAAACTAAGGGTATATTTAAGTTATTAATGAAATCTTAAGGTATGTTTAAGTCTTTTATTCTAAAGAAAAAAGAACACAAATATTTGCTTCAATTATTTTCGTCACATATATATACATATATTTTATAAAAAATAAATAATATAAAAGAGTACAAAAAATTGCAATATGAACATATTCATAAATAAAATAAATAAATAACATATATATACCAATTGAGATCGATTATTATTAAATAGGATAAGAAGCTGATTCAAATCCGATCAATTTTTAATCGGATCATATTATCCGATCCGAAAACTCGACACAAGTACATCCGAATCATATATGTTAGGATCGGATCCGATCCATTTGCATCCATAGCTACCTGTTCATTGCCAACAAAACAGAAATTTCACAAATTTTATTGCGAAATTCAGAACCAGCATGTGATGAACACATCGGAGCGCTCATTAATTACTCAATGAGAGCGTGCACATGGAATCATCACTCAATCTTGGGGTGACACCTTTTAGAGATTTTCATCTTTAAAGTAGAACGCGGGGCCCACTTCAGACTTATCCACTATCTATCTAATTCGTCCGAAGCATCTTTTTTTGTTTCCCTCCACTTTTCCATCTCCCCGCTTATAGATGATAAGAGGAGAGATGCTGAGAAAAACCAATCTCAAATTCTATTGGTTCGTTTACAAATGCACGGATCAGTACGCGAGACACCCAAAGCCGTCGATTAAAGTAACGATCTAACGGCTGAGGCGCTCAATCCCAAAATGCAGTGATGGCAATCAAGACTATATAATTGTAAAACAGACGGCAGGGTCTCAACCCTCCGAAACGTTCGCTTTGGACAAGTGTGGATTGGCGTCATATTTCTGGTGTGTCGCTGTTACTGATCCGGCGTGCTTCAGCGTTTGTTTTCTGCCGTCGAGAAGTCTGAGAGATGGAGAACACGGGAAAGGTCAAGAAGGGTGCCGGAGGAAGGAAAGGAGGTGGACCCAAGAAGAAGCCCGTCTCCCGGTCTGTGAAGGCTGGTTTACAGTTCCCCGTCGGAAGGATCGGTCGTTACTTGAAGAAAGGTCGGTACTCGCAGCGTGTCGGAACTGGTGCCCCAGTTTATTTGGCTGCCGTCCTTGAATATCTTGCAGCTGAGGTATTATTCCTCTGTCCATTCATATTTGTGTGTGGATTCTTGGTAGTCCTCTTGGTTTTGTTTCTTTGTAATCGTAAATGTGTTTGATGGGATTTTCTTTGAATCCTGGTGTTTTTTTCTTCACTTACGGCCTTTCCCTCCTAATTCCCCTTCAAAATCCAGTCACACGGGGAATTTTTTCGATTTTGATGTTAATGCAAGGTTGTGTTTTGATGAGATTAGGTGCTGGAGTTGGCTGGTAACGCAGCACGGGACAACAAGAAGAACAGAATTATCCCAAGGCATGTGTTGTTGGCAGTGAGGAACGACGAAGAGTTGGGGAAACTTCTTGCTGGTGTAACGATTGCCTACGGAGGAGTTCTCCCCAACATCAACCCTGTTCTTTTGCCCAAGAAGACCGACAAGGCCACCAAAGAGCCTAGGTCTCCAACCAAGGCTACTAAGTCCCCCAAGAAGGCCTGAGCTTTTGATTTCTTTTCTTCAATCTCTCTTTTTTATTTTTTTTCACCGTGCATTTTGTATGTAAATTTGGGACTTGTATCCTTTCTATTGGTTCCATTTCTACGATTTTAGTTAATTCCAAATCGCCTTCACTCCTTGTGATCGCTATTTCGATTAAATGAATGAAACTGGTTGTTACCTCATTGTTCTCTTCTCGGACCATATCGTTCTTATTTGTTCTCTTCTTTTTCTTTCTACGAGCGGTTAGCGGTCTATGAACATGGATACCATGTATTATCATCTTGTGTGCCAAATTCTTCACTGAATTTGCAGAGATGGAAGCTGCTAGGGGGTCCATTGAAGTAAAAAAAATGCTGCCAGAGCTGATCACATTGCCTGAAATTGATCCTTTCGATGATTTAAAGCATTGGAGTCTTTTTCACTTTTCCTTTGAGGCGAGCGCCCTATTATTATTTCATGGTGCGTGCTGATTGGTGTTTGCATAAACGTTTCATAATGGCAGCTAGATCATCTATCGTTTTGTACCACCGATTACTGAATGTGTTGGACAAATGTTTTTTCGTTTTCCTCTTAATTATGGAAATTGAGCCATATTGTATCATTAATGAATTTTCAACATAATTTTGGTTGATCCACGCTCATTAATTTATAATTCGGTCTTGTTTATTGATTTGGCGGTGTGCTTTAGCACTGATTGACTTTGGCGGCGTTATTCTATGCTCGGCTGCATTCCATTTTGAAGTGTGAAGTTTTTATTCTTTTAAATAAAGCCATCCCAACAAATTGGCACGCATTTGGTTGATTTGGAATTCGTTGAAGTTTTAAATTGTTCTACGGTTTGGTTTTAATCCCCCTACAAGTAATTTCGGCTTATGTTTTTTTATTTTATTAGACTTTAAACCTCCCCTTTGTCATAAAGTGTAATAATAATTATCGGATTTTGAATTTTAAATTCTTAAAATTTTTAAATAATATCCGTTTTTATTTTATATATGAGAGTTTTTGTCTTATAATTGTACATATAAGAGAAAAGAGGAAATTAATAACCATTTGTTATGTTTTAAAGATTACCATCAATTTTATCATTTTGAGTTCACAAGAGTTAATTTACAAAGTTGATAAATCAGTTACGTCTATTACAAAGGTGAAATCACAGCCTTTGTAGATGGGTGGCTGTTAGAGAATGAAAATTTTAGGCTTTTCGTATGAAACTTTGCAAAAATATCTCTCAAACTAATTTTTTCCCAAGGTTTTAATTAGATCTAAAGCTATTATTAATCATTCCATTGAAAGGTTTAATTTTTAAAACCCTAAAATCTTATCTTCAAAGTCATTGGTCTGTTATTATAGCATCTGCAATCTCATCATAGTATAGAACAGTCATGTAAACTTGAACTCCGTACTATTATCCAGAAAAAGGTTCTGGAAAAAATGAAAATAGAAATTTTTTTGACTGGACATACATATAGCACCCACCAAAACATAAATTGAATCACCACTCCTCTTAATCGGTTCTTCTTGTTCTTTTGCCATTTGTTCGCTGCATTGTAATCTTGACCAACAACGGTCGTCATTACCATAGCAGGACGGAACATTGTTCATCTACTTTCTTCAACCTCCTGATTAAGAATCAGAGTAATTCCATCTTCCACCTCTCTATCTCTCTCTTCCTTTCCTTCATTCTTCATTCTTCTCTCTTCTCTCTTCTCCCCTGTTTATGTCAAGAAACATCATTACTAACCCAAAGTCCCAAACCATCAGTCCGCTATAAAGGGATAATATTGGGTTTTTGATAAACGGCACATGAGCTCACATGTGTGCAACCAATTCTTAACAAATTGCTCATGGAAGGGGGATTTTTGTTAGTCCATTTTGAAAATAAAAGGGAGGTCTTAGTATTTAGCATAGACCTGAAGATAGGTTTAAGTCTTTTACGTTTTTTTTTTTTTTATAAATGATAAGATTAGAGAATAGTCTCATTTAATTTTGGCTTTTTTTTTAATTAGAGGTTCAAATTTATTAGAAGGTCAAAAGGGGTTCAAAGATATTTAGGAGGAAATAGAGGGATTTAATAAGTGATAAGATTTGAGAATACTTTTATTAGAGAAGAGTAATGATAGATTTTAATTGAAAAAATTAAAAGGGTTTTTTATGAGGAGATGTGTTTGTATCTTGAGGATATATTTTGACATTAGTTTGGTTTTGGGCTGAGTTAGGATCACCTGCCAACAAAATAAGTTCAACACTCCACCAACAACATCTGATACCATACATTTCATACATGGCGGATTCCACTTTTATGATGAGCCTAGTTTTATAGCAAGATGTGCGATGTCAGATGTTGTTGGAACTTTCTTTGTTGGCAGGTGATCCCAATTTGGGTTGAGTCAGGATCACCTGCCAACACCCTACCAACAACATCTGACACCATACATTTCATACATGGCGGGTCCCACTTTTTATGGTGGGCCCAGTTTTATATTAAGATATGCCGTATTAGATGTTGTTACCCTTAATCCCAACCAATTTATCTAATTTAAATCTATATTTTATAAAAAGGGTAAAAAAAGTTTCAAACAAATTTAATAAAAAATAAAGGATTTAATGGGAGGATAGGGATAGTGTTACAAATATTAACTATTGAAATTGGGGGGGGGGATTAAATCTGTTTTTATTGAGAAAACTAATGATATATTTTAATAAAAAAACTTAAATACATAAGAGAGCTTTCATAAGGGGAAATATGAGGGCCAAAAGCGTTTCAAAGATATTTCATAGGAAATAAGAGATTTAAGTGGGGGATGGAATATGTTATAAATATTGAAGAGAAGTAATGATAGGGGGGATTAAGAATATTTTATTAAAGAGAAGTAATGATAAATTTTAATATAGAAAATTAAGTCATAAGAAGGCTTATATAAGGAGACAAGTTTGCACATATATATTGGATTGGATAGGGTGGATTCATATTTGATTCAATTATAACTGGATTGAATTTGGATCATTATTAATGGATTCAAAATTTAAATCCGAATTTGGACAATCAGTACCACTTGCAATGGTAAGGGGTGTGATGATCAGTAATTGATGCTCACTTTGCAGAATTTGGATTAGCTAAATATGATATCTGTGCTGTAGAACCGATGGTAAGTGGGAGATTGAGTGGTTGTAGGTACTATGCATTTTATGACGTGTGGTACATTATTATTAATTCCCCAGCCCGCTGCACAGCCATTGTGTTCACTCTTCCCTACCCCATTCCCAATTCCCCTGTAAAGTGTAATATGTAATATAAAATAAGGGGAATGATCTATAAAGGGTGGTTTTAGTAGAGGTGAAAGACTCAAAGTCGAAGTGTGGGTTGCGTATTTGTATGAAACTGGAAGAGAGTAAGTTTCGAACCATCTTAATTTTACAGAGGACAGTTATAAATAGTGGCGATTTATATTATTGGTCGCATATCTGTGGTGAATTTATGAAATACACCAACGTTTTTAAAACTGAATCGGACAACGAATGGTCCAATCGTTTGAATTGAATGAATGGTCAGTTCTGATAAAAAAATAAAAGATAAAAAATGTAAAAATTTAAAAACAGTCAAAACCGTTGGATGGTTCGAACGGTTGGCATATCAGTATTTATGTTTTTTTAAAACTGGTTTAGTGCGGCCGATTTAAGGTTCCTCCAACCCCTGAACCAGTCGGAACCCTGATACACCTTCTATAGGGGCATATCGGGGTGCTCCCAATACGATATGTATCGGCCGATATGGGCCGATACGTGTCAATTTTTTGAACCTTGAGTTCGACTGCTCGAGTTAGTGGTTTGCTAACTAAATCAACAGTTTTTGGCGAAATAACGGTTTTAGGGTAAAACGGAATCGGTCACCTGACCAGTTCCTGATTTTTTTGGTTCGACCATCCTGTCCGATCCGGTTTTGAAAACCATGAAAAACACTTGTAGGCTGCGGCCAAAATAAGAATTTATGAAACACACAAGCTTGTATATACCAAAGCTGAATTAAATTTGCAACCAGCAATTAAATGCAAGATGCTCCTTCACCTCTTGAAGGTGCAGTCACCATGGATGTTCTAATATTGGAGTATAAGAGACTAGCCAATGATCCATTAGTTTGGATGGTCACTTGGGTCTGTTCTTTTTTTGGATTTTGAGAGGGGGGAAGTTGGTTAATTGGATTTTGATTCTCACCGATTAAGATACCCATGTTCTTTTTTGATGGAGTCTATGGAAAATTTATTTTTCCCAACAAGTGATAGCCATCTTCTAGGTGGATAAGTAACTTTCCCACATGGGGCCGTAAATTGCTAACACTTGGATGAGACAAAAATTCCTCTTTTAAATTTTAATAATGATTTTTTTAATGGTCAAAACAACCATTTTCTTTTTTATCTAGAAAATAAAGGAACATGGATAAATAAATTTATGTGAGTAAGTGTTTCCCTGATAAGTAATTTCTCGAAAAATGTAAGGAAGTATGAGAGTAAACTGTATAAATCATGGTTTTTAAAAATGAACCGGTGACCGAACCGGTCAGGGGTCCGGTTACCGATTCGAACGACAGGCCCGTTTTAACAAAAAAAAATTAGAAAATTGGAAAATGGTCAAAACCGTTCGAACGGTTAATCAGCTGGTTCAACGGTTTGCTGACCAAAATCAACGGTTTTGAGAGAAAAAAGCAATTTTGGAGGAAAATGGAACCAGTCAAATGATCAGTTCCCAGTTTTTCTTGTCCGGTCCGGTCCGATTTTGAAAACAGTGGTATAAATATATGCTCTCTGAATCAAGGTTAATGGACCCTATGTGCATCCTTTTTCTGTTCATGTAATACCAAAAAAGTAGAATTGACAATAACTCTCTTCTTATTCACTTTGTCGATGGAAGTAGTATTTTCCCCTCTTCCATCACCACTAACTCAGCCATCTCATACTTGATTCGACTATTTGTGTTCACTCTCATCTCTTATTAGAGTTGATTTGAGCTTCCATAAACGCCAGCTAAAAACCCGTTTGATGCACGGGAGGAGAAAAAAAATGATAGTTAATGAGATGCATTACTTTTTCAAAGAAAATGGAATAATAATCATATCATTTGTGATTATTTTTGACTATGACTTAGCCTTAGGAAGCTAGGAAGCATTCATAACCATTCATGAATTAGGAATTTGATGC